AATGTAAGTCGTGAACTGGAAGCAACTTTTTCCTTATCGCTATTGTTTTTTGTCTTCATTAAATCTAAAGTATTAGCGAATATATCAAATGGATCACCACTTTTAGTGCAATACTCAGCTCTTTCCTTGATGGTAAGTTTTTCATTCCTTTTATCCGGCACAAGAGCCTTGATCTGATCTTTACTGAATGAATGTCAATGAAGCAAGTCTTTCATACTTTTTCAAGCCTTCCAGTCTGGTAACATAACACTAAGTTCGCTAGCATAGTCGCATAATTGAGATGGATTGGATTCGATAGTCAAGTTGTATTTTTTTAGGACCTGATCCAAAATCGATGTAAAGTTATTAATTTGGGGCTTTCGGGTTTTTGAAGCAGTGTTCATGATAATACGTATATCGATAAGTAGATTGCGATATATTTATTACCTATTATTTTTTCAAATCAAAATTAATTACCCGCCCTTCATTCATAGATATCACTATACAAAAAAGAATTTTAGAGCCTTTTCTACAAACACGTCCATCCATGTAAGTATACGGTCAAGAATAAAATCCCATTACTAATAGCGGTAATAACTTTCAATTTTGTATACTTTTTGAATTGAACTTTTTGTATCATTATTCATACGAACTGATCAAGTAATAAAATGGGTCTGTCTAGCGAGGAAAAAAAACGTCTATATGAATCATTACAACAACAGGGGCAAAGTCAAAAATTGGCTGAAGTCGGTGAGGCAAAAAGTCTTTTCGCAGGTTTAACGGAACTTGAGTATGAAACTGGTTATAGAGGAGAACATATGTATTTTAAATATTTACTTCCGTCTAATGGACAGAGTGGACTTACTTCAGAAGATGATTCGGAAGATGACGCAAAGAATATAGCACTCTTGGATGTACATTATCCAGAAGAGATTAATTCACGATATATAATTCGGGTCGCAGGAAAAGGCTTTACAGTAATAGATCATCCTTCTGAAATTTATAAAATACCGGATGCACATGAATGTATTAATGGGAACAAGCCCCTTCGTCCTATATTAGATATTGATGCAAGACAAAAACCGGATCCTGCAAATCTGAAACTTCCTTCTTTAGATGGCGAAAAAATTACTCGTGATGATTTGATGTCTCGAATTTTAATTGCTTGTGCAGATGCATTAAATCTTATACCAGAATGTATGCCGATCTTAAAGTCTTTTTCTCTAGCTAGTTCATCAAATATTGATAAATGTAGCTGGCATATTATTTACCCTTATGGGCGATTTATTGACTATAGAGATCTCAAAGGCTTTACGGAAAAAGTCATTGAATTGGTAGGGAAACCTTACTCGAAGTTTATAGATGTTGGCCTTCCCAAGTCACGTTTTAGTCTTCGTCTTCTTGGATCAACAAAAGAAGAAAGGATAAAAAAACCAGCATTATCTTCATTCAATAGATTTCACGAGCTAGAAGATTATTTAGTTCAACCAAAATCGGATTATTCTGTGATCTGGCCACGAACATTTTCTTCTGAAAAGCCAGCCGATAAATTCCAGCCTATCGAAGATGAAGATACCCTGAGAAAAGGTGCTAATTTGGTTATTGCAAAATATGGTTGGCTTGAAATCGGGAAAAATGGAAAAGGGTTAATTAACTTTCAAGCGCAATCATCTAAAGAATGTCCTATTTGTGAAGTTATACATGAAAAAAATCAATTATACGGGTTTCTTCTAAAAGACCGACGTTTTATACTCAAATGTTTTCGGCAAAAACAATATAAACCAGCTCACAAGGGATTAGTATTTGGCGAAGTAACTAATAATCTACCAAGACCTAAATGGGGATTAAGTGAAAGAATAGTCAATATCATAAAGCATCCACGTCCACTTGTAGATTTATCCGGGAAAAATATTAATGTTAAAGAGATGGAAGATGCACCAGAAGCTTATCCGGATTTCTCGAGTGACGAACCCACTACAACCTTAATTCGTTCACCCGTTGCTACAGGGAAAACAAAAACTTTAAGAGAGATTCTTAATTCTTTAGCCAAAAGCGAAGCGAATTTACCTTGCTTTAACTGGATTTCATATCGTAAAACTCTTAGCAATGAGACTAAAGCTAAAGTTGAAATATTACAAAATTCAGGACTTCGCGTGTGCCATTATCAGGAAAATGGCGGTGATTTAGCTATACACGACTGGGATGTTATCATCGTCCAGGTCGAAAGTACACATCGTCTTTCTCTTTATGGAGGTCGTTCTTATGTAGTTATCTTAGATGAAGCGAACGCTATCATGCGTCAAATGTCCAGTGGGATCCATGCCCGAGAATCAGAAAATGCTATGCGTGATTTGTTGAAGTTTGCTGTTCACGTTGTGGCTATGGATGCTTTTGCGAATGAATCAACTTTAACCTTCTTAAGACAATATCGAGGTAGAGATATACGAATTTTTGATAACAAGTATCAGACACGTAAAGGTGAATCTGTAAAAATTCTTTATGACCCAGACAAAGGATCAGAGGCTATGTGTAAAGGTCTTTGGATGCTTCAAGAAGGTAAGCGTGTTGTCTTTTCTATGACTTCATGCAAAAAGGCTCGAGCTTTGGCACTTCAAACCTACAAGTTACGAAAACCAGATGGTTCACCTATCTTGACACGTGTTTATTTTGGTCAAATGGATGGAAAACAACGTCAAGAGGATTTTGCTGATATTAATGCTACCTGGAGTGGTCTTGATTGCGTAATTTATACAAGCACTGTGGAAGCTGGTATCTCCTTTGAAATTCCTAATCATTTCGATGCAATAATAGCAATTAGTAATATCAATACAGGAGTTCACGTTGAAGCTTTTGCACAAATGCTTTACAGAGTTCGTGACTGTCCATCGCGTATAGTTTCTCTTTATCATAGCAAAAAACCTTCCGAGATTTTTAAAGAACCAAATCGTGATCTTATTCGTGCAGAACTTTCAGCTTTAAGACCCAGAGATTTGCCAACTGTTATAAAGGGGCGTCGTGAATGGGATAAAATTGCCGATTGTTATACACTTGATTCATCCCCAACAGTAGAGACTTATATCGAGGTCGAATATCAAAGACGCTTATCAGCCAAATATTTTCCCGAAATTCTTTGCAGTCTTATCGCCAGTACTGGAGCATCTCTTGATCTAGTTTCAGTAGAAAATTCCAACTTGGCTAAGGCTGATCGTGTAAATGTATCTAATGATATTAAAGGAACTGCAAAAAAAATCGAAGTTGCTGAAGCGGAATTAATAGCCAATTCCACAGATATTGATCCCAGTGAAGCTGAATTACTTAAGCAGATTCCTACACGTTCTTTTACTGATAATATGATTCTACAACGGCATTATTTATGGAAAATTTATGCTTCAGGTGACATAGGAGGTAAGAATGATTCTCGAGATTGGGGCATGGATAATGCTGATTGGGTTAAACTCTGTGATATAGATTTTGTAAAAATATTCAACAATTCCGAACCTTTACAACATTTTAGAAGACTTGCCTATTTCCGAAGACAAGGTTCTAATGCGATAAAAGCTTGGAAAATTTAAAATTCAAAGAAACCATACAATGGGAGGAATCACAAGATTCTTTGGATCCGGCCTCAAACGATTTGCATAAATATTATTCAGTAAAACAATGGGAAGCCGTTCATAACCTTTTCCAATCATTGGGTTTTACCGGCATAGATGATGAGCGCATTCTCTCAGGCGATGATGTGGCAAAATCATTCGAAGAATTGCAGGAAAAAATCATTAAAATTCGACAAGATGCATTATTACTCTTCGGATTTAAATCTCGGGCCAAAGGAACACCTGATCTCAATGCTACAATAAAATTCATCAATGCGGTAGTGGGTAATTGGTGCGGTTATGCTATTAAGAGTAAACGAAAAAGAGAAGGACCTAAGGGTCAACAAGTATGGAAACAAATTTATTGGATTGACCGCAAACCATACAGTGAAACTGGTTTTAATGAAGCGAGAGCTCTGATTCTTCCGCCATATAAACCAGAATCAGTCAATGAAATTCAAGAACTCTTTGATTCGATACCTATTACCGATACTAACTCAAAATTTACCGATTAATTCAATCAATCAATGATCTAGTTTAGTAGCGTACCTCTGGCAGGAGGTATATTGTTACATTCAATTAACCATTCATCTCAGGTAAGGGGGATTTTTTGTCGTCTCTTACAATCAGTGTGGGAAAAAATTCAAATCGGAAATTACTACTCAAAAGTATGATCCAAAGTGCAAACAATTTTTTGATTCGGTAGTACGTCAAAGTATAATCCAATTTTTCGATCCAGTATTACGCAAAGGTAATACGTAAAAGTATGATCCAATTTTTTGATTCAGTAGTACGCCAAAGTAAGAATAAAATTTTCGAATCAGTATATAGTACGTCAAAGTATGATCCAATTCTTTAATCCAATAATACGTAAAAGTATGAGCCAATTTTTCAATCCGGTAGTACGTCAAAGTATGAACCAACTTTTTGACATGAAGTGGTAGCACACCAAGGTATTTTTTTCGGTAGTACGTCAAAGAGAGAAATTTTTCAGGAAAGAGGGGAAAATCGGTAGTATATAAAGTGATATGCAAAAGGCCAAAATTTTTCAAATCGGTAGGATGTCAAAGCACCAACTACACGAGAAAGGCTTCCAGAGACGTAAAACATAGCGTACTCGCGGTAGTATGTCAAGGTATAATTATAGAAATATATATTATAGAAATTATGCTTTGGCGTACTACCAAGTGAGATAACAATTCAGCACTTTGTGCCTCATCCTCGATTGGTATTCGAATGCGTCATGCAAAACCAGATCATGAATACTATTTTGGCACTACGTACCTCACCCTTGATCGGCATTCGAATGCAATGTAAAAAGCCAAAATACAGATTGCCAATTCGGCACTTTGTGCCTCATCCTCGCAATCGAAAAATTGGCTGATCGTCAGGAAATGTAGTATAGGAGATACGTATTTTTTTTTTTACGAATTGGTTTTTTGGCCCAAAGTGGGGGGATAGAGGTTCTATTTATACGTTTTTGTAGTAATTTATTAGACTACTAGTACAACGCAAATTCAAACTCGTCGTATTTCAAAGTACGACGCAAATGCAAACTCGTCGTACTGATGAAAATACGAACCAATCGTATAAGTAGGTAACAGTCTACCATAAGTAGGTAACAATATATATATATTGTTACCTACTTACACTATACTGTTACCTACTCAAGTAGACTTCCAAGCCTGAAAGTGAGTCTTATTGATTACTGTCACAAGTGTCACAAGTTGTCACAAGAAAAAAAATTGGCTAGAAATAATATTTTTGAAGTTCCAAGCCCGAAAGTGAGTCTTATTGATTACTGTCACAAGTGTCACAAGTTATTTTCACATACTCCACTTTTTATTTTTTATTTTTTTTGCGTTTTCCACTTTTTATTATAGGTATATCATATATACCCTATAAAAAATTTGCATACGGAAATTCCATATGAATTATAATTTTTATTGCTATGAAATGATTATTGTAAAAGATACAGAATTATTCCGGAAAAATTGTAAAATATACGGAAATTCGCAATTTTCTGTACATTTTCCATATACATCCATAAATTG